ATCCCATGAAAATGCTTAGGAGTTATCTTAGAAACAAAACGACAGTCTTCCGTCAAGCTTTGCAAAATATGTATTAATACAATGCCTTGAACATATGAAGATTCCAGACATATCTATAGATTGTAACCAAACCTAAGTATCGCCCTATGCTTTGCGTGTGTGTATAAAACCTTATGACTTGTATACAGCGAGTGGTCGAGTTATAATTGAATAAGATAAGCAAATAAAAAAAATAAAAGTGAATATATTCATGAAAGTACTATATCTTATTATGCATTAACATGGTGTAGGTTCGGGAAATCAAAGTAAATTATCCCTTACGCAAGTACTCCACTGCAGTGTAAATTCCTTAAGCCATCGCTTTCGGGTTAGGCAGCATGTAAAATTAAAAGCTAAGCCAGGGTATTATGAATTAACCAGCGCTAGAAACAGAGCAATGCTATTCACAGAGCTGTGTGTACCTTTTTCGTCATTTTAGCGGAATGCTGAACAATTCGCGATGAATTATTCAGTTTTAAGCGCCATACAAATCGTGGGAAAAAAGTTCGTCTGTCTATATAAACAAGGGTTGCGGACATGGGCAAAAAACTTTGTAGTCCAAACTTTGAATCCGGGTGTCATTCGACCAAGCATATGCTCGCTTGTAAATTGTGTTTAGGTTCACACTCGAGAAACCTGTGATTTTCAGATCTAATCTCATTTAATGTAAGACTAACAGGACAGCGGGAGATATAATTCCTCTCAAATCTTCTAGCATACCTGTACAAGTACATGCAGAGACAGGGTCGGACATTTATAGCTCAATATTTCAATAACTAACACGACCGCCTTCCAATTTTGCAAAGCGTTTTAATGCTGCTCAACTTACATATGGTCAGTTTAGTGGAGACATTATTTATATAATTAATTGTAATACTTAATAATAGTTGATGCCATCTGAGGGTTTTGGTGTCGATTTTTGAGCTGTCTTAAGGTCTGCAATAAAGTGTTACAAAAAATTATTTGTCGATATATGAAAATTAAATAGTATGGGACGTCAGTACAATATCTGATATTCTAACCTCTTCAACTTCACAAAAAAAAAGATTAAAAATTGCTTAAGCTTTGTTTCTTGATGTTTCCGAGATTCCTATCTGATGGGTAAACAATTGGGGTTGGGATGGTGTAGGATGTGAAGGAGGGTGTATGTTAAATGCTTAAATATAAATCATCATAAATGAGGGGATGGATTCTGGCAAGGCGTAGCTGAGTAAATTTGGGTGCACTCGGTGGCACAGACCGTCTGTTACTCATCACGTCGATTGCATCTGGGATCGCAACGCTGTCGGCTGGGTCGCAACGTTGTCAAATGGATGGAGCCTAACTATGTGCACCTATTTGTCTGAATTGTTCCATTTAATCCCTTTCTCATAGATGGTCGTAGGTAACCTTTACTTCGCACGCCTACTGGCGAGGAATTATTGTAGTAGCGGAAAATTTCGAAAATGAGATATTACGTTTTTTGGATTTTATTTGACATACCTCACGAAAAACCATGTCACTCATTTCCGTTGGTCAGTCGGTTCGTCGGTGTGTTGGTCTATCAGCCAGTACTGCTCGGGTTTACATGACATTTTTACACAAGGTTAATCCTTTTCCAAGAACGAAAAAGCTTTTGATAATAGGTCTTGTGGCGGAGGAGAAAAAAGAAAAAAACTAACAAAATAGAAATACCTAAAACTTTTCACATTTGTGACGTTTCAGAGAATGCTAATCATTTTTGAAAAATAACCCGGAGGTAAAAGATTGAGGTGTGTGGTGTTGTAAGGCGATGGTGGAGGGTATATCTCTATTTTTGATGTTGGTGTATTTATACGCTTCCAACCTCGGTAATTATACGCACCTAATAGTCATATTTCACACACCATACGATTAAATTTCCGTTCATGCATTTAAAACTTGGATAGAAAAATTCTTCCGATATACGTCTCTGCCTCTGCTCTCTGGGTTTTCCGGTGGGCGTACTGGCCTTGGTAAGTGCCCTGGCATTACCACTCCTGTGTGGCGCTCCCGCGTCTGACGCATCGTGTCATCAGCTATTGGGGAGGGGTGACGCTGCGAGATGGATGGTGCTACCAGTAGGGCCGGGAAAAAATGACTATGGACTAATTGTATGGGCCCGACTGCTATACGAGGGATGTCTCTTAAGTTTTGCATATAGAAACATAGTAGGCCGCGCGGATCGTACGTCAGAACTGAATCTTAACCTCACTCTTTAGTAAACTTAAATTCAAAGTTTCACAACAATAGGTGCAGTGTTCTCACTACAGTGAATTTCTAAGTGTCACCAAGTCATTAGAAAAATGGAACTCAACCGAGAACATGTTTGCGCCATAATTTATTACAACTTTCACAGACAATCATCGCAACAAGAATGCCTTGCTGAGTTACTGTCTGTTTTCGGCAACGGAGCGCCACATCAGTCGACAATTTCCCGTTTTTTTTGAGAATTTAAACGTGGACTGGTGAATCTTAGCGACGATCCCAGGGTGGTTGCACCAAAAACGGTAGCCACCCAGGGAAACGTCGATGCTGTGCGCAACCTCATCATTGAAGATAGACATGTGACATATCGCGAGATTGAGGTGATTAGTGGTGATGCATCATGGATTTACTGTTATGAACCAGAAAATAAACGACAGTCGGCTGTTTGGGTGTTCCAAGGTGAAGAAAAGCCAACAAAAGTCATCCGTTCTCGAAGTGTTTCGAAAAAGATGGTCGCGACATTTGTGTCAAAACCGGGTCATATAGCAACAATTCGTCTTAATGAGCAAGGAACTGTAACTGCGGATTGGTATACCACCATTTGTTTGCCAAAAGTCATCACCGAGCTTCGAAAAATCAACCCCGAAAGAAAGATCATCCTCCACCAAGACAATGCAAGCTCGCACACAGCCCAAAAGACAAGGCAGTATTTAACGGAAGAAAACGTGGAATTATTGAACCATCCTCCATATAGTCCCGATCTACGTCCTAACGATATCTTTACGAAAATTAAAAACAGACTGCGCGGTCAAAGGTTCCAGTTACCAGAAGAAGCAGTTGACGGATTCAAAAATGCCGTTTTAGATCTGCCAGCAAACGAGAGGAATAAGTGCTTCGAAAATTGGTTCGAGCACATGCAATGTGTATTAATCTTCGTAGAGAATACTTCGAAAAACAATAAAGTCATTTAAAACTACCTACCGTGTTGTTTTATTTCCATATGCAAAACTTGAAAGACATCCCTCGTACCCGCTCGTAACTAACATTTTTTTTGGGGGGTCTAACTTGTGCTGAGCATAATTCTTTATGAGCTGATGACAACGTTGCCTGGGAAGTGCTAAAATGTAAAGTACAAATTCTCGGTGAAGCAGCCAACCGCAAACGAAGTCAGGGCAGAAACAATGAAATCCTTTAAGTCAACCTATCGAAAATGTTTATTTTCTTCATCAAGACATACTACAAGGAATAAGTACGACATCAAAAATCTACAGCTCAAAAAATAAAATACTGATCAATAAGAACACAAAAATTAAGAAACTATAAAATTATATAATTTCCATAGTGTTTGTAAAATTTTAACCATACATCAAAGCAGTTGCTGAATGAACGACAAATCGTTGTAGGAATAGAAGCCGACAAATTGAATTTTGAGCAAGAAGGAATACGGAAACGTAATTGCGCATGAACAATTTAGTGTGTCCGAAATCAAATGGAAAATGTCAAACCGCGGAAGTAGACATTCGGAGGTGGCAGGTTGATGAGCAGTTTTATGTGACCATTATTGGGCAAAACTGGTGTTACTTGCACATCCAGTCAGTATTAAATTATTTGACTTGAAAAAGTTATAAAGGTTCTTGTGGACACCTAAAATTGGTTGTGGGTGAAAACGCGGCCAAGACAACAGTGAAAAAGGAAATACAAAACCTAGTTAATAAAATCAGCCGGTTGACTCAATCCAACACATAAAGAAAGGCACCTACTTGATACCATTTTTAGTGATGCAGGTGGCCCCATAGTCACATGGTCTCCGCAAGTTGTCAGTCTGCGTTTACTAAGGAGTCTTGGTCGAAGTATTCCTGAACAGATATTATTGTTCTTAATTCGTGAAGCTTTTTGTCCTAGTTGCATAATCCTATATGGACATCGGCGTTAGTGTTAGACCGTTCAAGTTGATTCAGCATCCATTCCGGCATGTAGGCATCTAAGCTGAATTGCAGCACACGGAATGACCTGTCTGGTTGCGGACATTACCTGCACTTTGTCGTAATTCAATCAGAACAAGTAACAGGCGGAATTAATGAAATCGATATATTTTATACCGAGAATTCTAATCGTGACTGGTTCTTATTATATATGTCCCTCTATGGTTATTTTGTAAGGAGTGATCTTACAAAATATTTGCAAGACAGAACTTTTACGTACAATTAACCACTTTATGCCAAAATACGTTGTTAGTCCGTTGAAGATAATTATTCAGCATCGATCCCTAACGAAGGCATCTAAACTGAATTTCAGCGCACGAACTGGCCTGTCTGTTTGCAGACATTCCCTGCATTTTGTGGTAATTCAATCAGAAAAAGTAAACGGCGGAATGGATAAAATCGATATATTCCATACCGTTACGAGAATTCTAATCGTATCTGGTTCTTGTTGTATCTGTGACATCCGAGATATGAGTTTTCACTGGTAAATTGAGTGCTTTATGCAAAAATAGTTATTTAGAAAATATTTTGACTTCCTTTGAAAGGATAAAAACATTCCAGCATTCTCTCGTTATATTCTTGATATTCCTACATTTGCAGAATTTTGAACTGATGTGTCAGTCATCCACTCCAAAGACATACAATATTCTATCGTAAGTATAACTTCCACACTACATAATCTCCAGGAGTATCTTAGGATCGATGCTTTTTGAACACACTGCCCTACAAATATTGACACCGTTTTTGCAATTACTCTGTATAGAAGTAGTGGGTGCCTCGGTAGCTTGGTGGTTACCGCGTCGAGCTGGCAACCCGGGGATCACGGGTTCGAACCTTCACCTGGGAAATTCATTTCTAGCCATGGCTGTTGTGATGTTGTTCGTCTTTATCATGCACGTTGGTGCAATATTAACGGTAGGTCCATCTCACCGATAGAACTGATTTATTATATCAGCTACCCGTCGATGGCTCATGGAGTAGCACTATGGAAACAGCAAAAAGGGTCAAACGTGGCCTAAATGCCAGGCTTCGCCCCCTTACTGCTACCACTAAGACATGCAGTCGTTCACCTAATATTGTGATTATTCTCTCAGTTACAACTGTCTTTATCCCTTTCATACACGGTTACTAGTAATTCGCCGTACTCCTCTCGTGATAAGCAATCAAAATGTAACAAATTTCACCATATATATGTTGTATGGTTGAAACTCAACAGTTTTCGAGATTTTCAAGATCTGTGATCTTTCACCCACCATTTCAGTCTAAGCAACGAAAAAGTCGCGTATGAATTGCGTGAGAATTGGGTTAACTTAACTTACCACAAAATGTGTAAAAATACAGTAGACAATGAAACAACAGCCAAATAAAGCGATTTTCGGTTTCAGATTTCCTTGTAAGACCTCTAAAAATTGATAGTACGTTAGGCATACAAACTAACAGAAAAACGTGTATGTACTTATCTCTCCAAAAATGTATTCAAGATCAGCACAAAAGCATCCCAATGTTAACACATAGTCAATCAAATTGATACTGATTCTTCAAATAGACGTATTAGTTTTTTAAAGAAATGGCTAATGCGAGTCTCTCAACCCTGTCTACTTGCTATTTTTGTGATCTTTGTGTTATAAAGGGTCCTCACGTACTTTCTCTTATTCACTATGCGCTAAAAATGTCTTGGGTTTCAGATACATAGCTTCATAGTAGCTCAACGAACACAAAAAACGTGCAATTATCAATAATTCGAATACAGCAGTATTGTCTTTTATGGATTTGTAAATTCGCTGTTGAAGGAGACCGTAGATATTAACACCGCGAATCCTATCATCAAATTTGCTTCTTTTACATTACCAAAGAGGTATACACCTTAGGAAAAACCATTGTTATACATGGGAAATCATTTCTTGGCAACAGCGCATCGGCTCGTCTACTTTCATCGCTATTCGTACATATTTCCTACCGTTAACCGCAGACCTGTATCACGAATGAGAATAATAGGCAGATACGCTGTGTTGCCAATTTGAGTAGAGCTTCCCGAATTGTGGGGAATTTAGAGTTAAGTGTTGATTCATTCAAGCTTTTAATCAGCATGGCCTAGACGTTAGAACTTCATAAAGATAACATTGAAGCTGAATGCTGCTGGAGTATAGTGTTTCGAATATTCAAAATTCAAAATTATTTTACGAAAATGCGTTATATTTTTACGATTTTGTCGTCATCAAATCTCTGTTTCTCAAAATGTACGTCTATTGTAGAATTTTCAGCAAACTAAGCAAGAAACGTGATCTAGTATTTACTCAACATTACGGATTTCTCGAAATACATTAAAAAATGTGACCTAGATACCTAACTGCCCCAAGCTCTTTAAATATAACACCTTAAACCAGGGTTACCAGGTGCTCAGTCACGTTGATTGTCATGTTGTACTGCGCAAGTCAGCAAACAATCTGGCGTAATAAACGTTAGGAATCATCAGGTATTGCCAGATTCCCGAATACCGGGCACCATAGTAACCGTTATAGTTGTCCTTCAAAGTTGTCAAATCGCCCCTATGGCGCAAATTCGCCACACCAGGCAACTGTGCTATAAACAAACCCTGTTTATCAGTACTATTTGATAGTCATATGGTAGTTGTAGCCCTATCTAGCGGTCCATGATTTTTCTCAATACTGTTGTATCTCTACTGGCAACAAGAATAGGGATTACAAAATCATTTATACAACAATATACAAACATGAAAAATATGATTTGAACAATGAAACATTAATACAATTTTAATAGTTTGAACTTTTTTCATTTTTGGAATACTCTTATGTGGAATCCGCAGCTATTTTTCCAGAAATTTGGGTAGACTTAGATTTCTTAGAAATATGACATATTGGTATCGGCAACTCTGCGAATGGGAGAAACAAATCGCATTTGTTGAGCGCATCCGTCTAAGCGGTAGGCGCCAGCGCCCGTTCTGCCATCTCTCTCTTTTATCACTCTTCTACTTTACCCCGTTGTCCGTCACACTCCGACGCTGCCAGATAAGATCCTACAATCGAGTGTCTTTCACGCACTTACATACTTTTGTATATTTCCATCTCTCTTCCTCATCATAATGTATAATAATGGTTTTTCCCATACTGTATATGGAAATACGAGTTATAAGATCGATGCTTCAACATCGCGTTTAAAAAAAGTTTATTTAGTACTAAGTGTTATACATTATACTGGAGCAGTTCTTTACGCATGTGGTACATTACCCCTCAGTCACAGTAAGACCAGAAGCTAGAAAATGAGATGGATTACATTCATTTGAAATACTTATGAAAGGTATCTTAGGTAAATTTAGTAGATGGGCTGTTATTTGATCTAGATCCGTTTAATTGAGTGTTTGTTAAGAATTAAATATTTCCACACTGATGTTTGATACATTTTTTGGAAAGCTGTTCATACGGAGAATTTACTTATATATCAATGACTAGCAATTTTTAGAACTAGATACAGTCATGTTCTAAGGAAAATTGAAAACACAAACCACTTCAATCCTCGAAATTCTTTGTCATGTTTTATGATTTCATTAGCTCATTTTATGACTTTGTAAGAACAGGTGATGTCTCGGGCATTACTTGCATCGCTTTTTTTAATAGTCAAAACCCAATTTAGGGCAAAGGATAAAGTTAATTGCATTTTGTGGCGGAATACACGAAACCTTTTATATTTTGTCTTATTTATTTGCCCGTGGATATTAATATCTGAGCTTTTATACGATATCTAAGCTTTAATATTGAGTTATGGAAATATCTCAGATTGGTGCATTGTATGTTTCCGACGAATTTTCTGGAATCTGGCTGTTTGTGTTAGCTGGAAACTGAAAGTTAACAATTTCCATATAAATCGTGATTGTAGCAAATTTTCTGTCTTAAAGTTCAGCTTTTCAAATAGAGTCACAGCGATCTTTTTCGAATAGGTGTTATAGGACTTAGTTTGAGATAGTGTAGTTTCATGACTCACAAGTTCCAAACATCCCCGCTGTGGTGTGTCTAAACAGATAAACTACACACAAGACCTACTACTCGTCTTTGCTTCTCAAGGCGGTCCAAAAAACCTCAGTCTTAAGGTCATAGTCACTACAATGTCAGCTTCTGTCGTCAATCTGTCAGGACTGGTGGTCTAGAAACCAAAAAAGTTGCAGGGGAAGGAGGAGGGAGAGAAAAGGGAAGGAAGTAGTAGACAGAAATAAAAGAAAAGTAACACACAGAAGACCCTCACTTGACGGACCATGTGAAGCTCTAAGTGCAACGTTTCAATTAAGGTGAGCAACATTCTGGTGCGTGAATCAGTAGACTAGACAGTTGATCAAATTAGTAAGCATAAAAGGCTTCAACTCGCACTTTTAACAAAATTTAGAGCAAACTTGAATTAAAATATAAGTGTACCCAAAAATCAATTTATGCACCAAATAATGTTGTCTAGGTCATTTCAACTGATCTTTCTTTATTGCGTTGTTCTCATGCTTCCGTCTTCTCCGCTTCCTGCTTCCTCGACGTTGTTTGGTTTATAGACCATCGACGATGACGATGATTCCACTAATATACGTCTGACAATGACTAATTGGTAAACGTCCTGCGGACTGCCCACAGCCCAGACAAATAATAGAAATAGTACTGGTAGTAGATAAAGAATATCCCATGTTCGCTGAGCATAGAAAAGCTGTTTCGGTATCTTTAGAAAAATAATAATGATACTAAACCGCTGTTACACAGAATGTAGTGGCATCACAATTCCAACAACCTTCGTTTATCTATATTGATTGTAACTTATTTTAGGTACTACTGAGAAAATTTGACTATGACATTACACTTCAAACCAGAGTAAAGAGAAATAATAAAGTAAGTAAGATTAGCATAAGGGTTTCCAAGAGTACAGGTTAGAAATTAAGTCACTAGGGGTTCAAGAAAAGTGTTCCTAAATAATCCTGGTAGCTTGAAGGCTGAAGTAGAAAATCTTAAATCTTCTCTACTTTCCCACTTATAGACTTTATATCATTATAAGTGTTTTGTTTCGGATGAATTGTTGGCATTAATGTCAATACAAGTAAGTACAGATATTGCTTTTTGGTAAAAATTAGGCTGAAAATCTACTAAAATAACCTAATTTTCCCCCTTTGTCCCCAAAAACTGATCGTCTTTTCATTCCCCCTTACCTTCATGGTCTCCCTTTAGGATACAGTAGTCTAAGCGCGTTTGTACCACATCAAAACGGCGCCTCCCATAAAGAAAGAACATAACGGCATCAGCAAAATCATGCTACATTTACGACAATGTCCTGGTATGATCCCAGTATAATACAATATAGTGGGCAAAGACTTTAATAGAGATATCCTAACCTACAAGGCTATAATCTAACAAAGTGAGAATCCATGCTGAGTAAAGTGAGTGCACTTACCAGTAGCGTTATTTCTTCTCCATTATACACTTCAGGCGGTATCAAGGAGTAAGCGTATGGAAATCGGATTCTGCTAGACACGAGGCTCAGCAACTACAAGCAGGCTCACGCTATTCCATATTGCTTAGGTTACGAATCTGGAATAAAGGGATCATATTACAAATGGGAACGGTAAATACAAGCGTTATTCATTGTTGTTTTATTGTGCAATACGCGTTTCTCGCAATTTTTGAGGAAATAATATTGTGCACAAAGATAACTGGAAATACACTTCAACGTAGAGGGTGCTACAAAGTGTCACCAGTGAGATGTGAACTCAAATTCAACACGTAATAATATGAAAAAATCTCATGCAAACAGGTACCAAAAATTCTCTGATTCTACCACCGTTATGGAAACGAAGCATTTCCGGTCATA